TGTTATACATGTCAGATAAATATGATATAGTGGATAATGTTGATATGTCTGAGAACTCTGCTATCTCTACAATCTATATTGAGTCACATGATCAGAATTAAGAAATTAAGAAATTAAGGATAATTCCAGACCGTAACAACGTTGACAATATTAATAATTAATTATTTCTGATTATATAAAACTAGTTATACTTTAATTATTAATATAACTGATCATTCACCAAATATAATTACAAATTATATGAATTTTTTTAGAAAATTAATTATTAATATATTAGAAAATAATACAAATATAATTGATAGAGAAAATATAATTGTAAAAATTAATAAATCTAAATTTGAAAGAAGAAAATCTCATTGTAATCGTATAGTTAAAGATATATAAGTGATTGATGATATTAAAAGAACTAATAAGAAAAGATATTTTGTGCAAATAGTACAAAATAAAATAACTAAAATATTATATGATATAATATCAAAACATGTTGTATCTGGTTCTATTATATATATTAATTTATAAAAAGATTATAAAGAAATTACAAAACTAAATATATCTTATAAAACAATAAATCATTCTAAGAATTTTGTAAATTCTAATATAAGTATTTATATAAATATTATTGAAAATTTTTGAAATGAAATAAAATACAAATTTTACTTCAAAATAGGAATAAAAATACAATTAATAATTATTTATTTGAATTTATATAATATAAAAAAATTCTGATAATTTCTGAACTGATTTTTTAAATACACTACAAATTACAAGCTATTATAATTAATAAGAATTTTTATATAATATTTTCAAATTATTACTTTTTTATAATACACAAATTTAAAAATAATTATATATTAAATTAGATTCTTTATTTCTTATTATATCAATAATATAAATTTCACAAAAATATTAAATATTTTTATGTATATATAAAGAAAAAAATAATTTGATAATAATTTAATAATTAATATGAATATGATATATTTATATAATATAATAAATGTTATTTCATATAATATATAAAATATTATTTATATAATATATAATATAATATATTTACATAATGTAGCAAATTTTAATTATACAATCATTATTTTACATTATTACATGAGCTTGTCAATTCCTAAACAATATGTTCATGTTGTAATGAAACTTTATTTTATTATATTGTTATATAAATAAGATATCAGACAAATGATCAGAAAATTTTATGTTGATTAAAGATCAACTATAACATATATATTATAGTACATATATATATAAAAAATATTATTCTAGAAAAATTAATTTTTCTTGTTTATTATTTACTTGTCAATATTTATGATTATAATTATTCATTTGATTTAAAATAAAAAAATAAATTTAATTTATATTGTTATTAATATTAATATTTATTATAATTATTTAAAAAATTCTGGTAATTTGTGAATTGGTTTTCTAAATATATTACGAATCACAAAATATTATAACTAATAAGAATTTTTATATAATATTTTCAAATTATCACTTTTTCATCACTATAATATCTATTCCAGTTCTTGTATAATTCATCCTTAAGTTCTCTTCAGCTCTTCCAAAAACTTATAAAATATGATAACAATATAATTGCAATTTTTCTAATTCTTTAGAATTTGCAAAGCAAAAATCTTTGAATAATTGTTGTATATGCATATATATATGTATAAAATTCTTAATTCAATAATTATTATGGATTAAAAGCTTGAAAATATTTTGAAACTCAGATTCTAAGTTGGACATATTAATCTTTAATGATTCATATAATTTTCCTTTTCTGCCAGCTCTTCTACAATAACAACAATGAATGGTGGTGTGTGTGATTTGCTTACTTTATTAATTACTAGTTGTTTAATATATTTGTTTGCTGTTGTCCATATGTTCATTTTCTTATATAATATAATCATTAATTTTTCGCATGCATTCCATTGACATCTTTTTTTTGTATGTCTTGCTTGCCGTACACCAAAGTTTTCTTGTGGTATTTATATTTTGGTTAGCATTCAATATCTTGTGTGCGTGTATATGTATATATATCTTTGTATATAATCATTTAATTGGATTGATTTTAACGGGTATTACGGAATAATAACGATTCATTTTTTATTTACTTATCGTTATATGATTATATGATTCGTGATTGAGAATTGTGTGGCAATGCAAGTGGTGCGTTATTTATGCGGGCCACTGTACATCGGCCGTCTTTATTTAGATCCTAAATGAACAACGGGATTTACGGATTTACGAAATTTCCAATATGACAGGTGGTAATAGAATAACTTGCACGTGAGATTAACGAAAAATGATATTTACAACTCCCTTTATTTCTTTCTGTACAAGCTACCCAATCGACATTCAGTAGAAATGTTTTTGTCAGTATGCATGTACACATATTCTTGTCATTACTGTGACACGTATTAAACTGCTTATTTTAAACAAAAAATTCGAGCGTGAGTACGTATATTGTTCGATGTAAGAAGAGTATAAAGTGTTACTTTACTCAACATCCAATTGCTAACGCTATAGTTCGTTCTGGTAAATATGTCATGTTTTTGTAGGTATTAATAACCTGCAAGAATTAATGTAGGTATATTTATATTTATCATTCATGTACAAGATCGATTAAATTTTTCGTTAAGGAGGGAGGTTTTAAACATAATACGTAAAGATGACTTCACACTTACGTTTCAGGGTAAAGATCATGGGTTGGCTGATTGATTCATGAATGACGGAAGTTTTTAACTTTCATTGGATCATATATTACCATAATTTATATATATACTATTTTTAGTATCTGATAAACATAGATTTAATTTATTCTCTGGGCATTATTATATTATTACATAATTACAGTCAAAATTCGTTATAAGGAAATGAAATCCGCATTTAACGATATAAATTATTATTTCCAAAAAAAATTACGTATAGGAGAATTAAAAACTTGCTTTATCGAAGAGAACTTCAATTTCACTATATAACTGGATTCATTAAATAATAGTAATTCCCAAACAAGCTTTGATAGGTACATTTGGTACATTTAAGAAGGTGAAGATCCAATCTCGGGCGTGTGTACATGTGTACATGTGTGATGTAAATTCTAAACTAGCATTTTTTTAGTAAGTGTGTTTATGTATATCCTAACCATTTACTTTCATTAAATACTTTATCATTATTTTAGTCCTATTGCTCCTTGTCGTGTTCCTCGGCTGGTCTATTGAGAACCCAAAACCGCCATCATAACCCTTCCATCCACCAAAAAATCCTTACCCTTTCCACTACTACCCGACACACTTTTTTTAATTTTTTATATATTCTTCCTTCCTTTCTCCCAAAACACAAGAACCAACCACCAAACATCCAATACTCTTAAACAACACATAACATCACAACTACTACCCGTTGCGTTCTTAAAAAACCTTGATTTTCCAGTTTCCCACTGCTCATCTCCGTCTTGACTAATTCCATAATTGGTTTTTATTCCCCGTCGTCGAACACCACCACCACTATTATTATCACAATCGGAACTCGCGCTGTGTGTGCGTCATTCGACGTCGTCCCAAAAATAACTTGATATAATCAATTCAACCTTGACCCTACAGGGAAAAGTACTATTGTTACTATTAAGATTATTTATTATTATTATTGTCTTGGCTGACTGGCTCGTCAAACCGAAAGCCAATTACAACAAGGAAACTCCATGAATCATCGACTATTTTTGTCATAGTGTTGTTTTTTGGTTTTCACCCTAAAAGTTTTTTATAATTCTCGCCTAATCAATTATTCACTCGCACTCGTACACGCACACGCACACACGACAAGAAACAATTTATTATTTACTGTGTGTGTTGTGTGTGTCTGGTGTAAATAAGGTAACAACTACCGACTCTCGAAGAGAACAGGACAAAATTTGTAAAAAAGAGTGATTGTTGAGAGAGTACCTATAATTTGGTCGGTATCTATCTCCACATCGCAATATTACCTGATTCCGACTTGTCAACCGAATTGACATCTTTTCTTCTCTCTAATTATCATATTTTACGACTTTGTCGATTGTACATAAAAATCTAAACATTAATCCTCATCATCGTAATCATCCTTTCAAAAATCTAGAAGGCAGAGCCAAACCAAAAATCTGATTTAAATCTAATTCAAACCAAAATCCTGACAAAAAAGGAAAAATGGCGTATAATTACAACAATGGACACGACAATAATACCAACAATAGAGCGCCGTTTAATCATCCCGCTCAACAATATCCACAAGCACACGCACCACCATCGCCAATAGCACCAACACCACAAAGACAACATACCATCCCATCTCCTTCACCCATTCATAGCAACAATAATTATGCGTCATCACCTCAAGGTTATTCTCACAATCATGACTATAATAATTATAATCAACACATTATCACCACACCAACTACTCCTCAACCTCAACAATATTTAACATCACCGACCACATTATCACCGGTTAGCCCTGCTATCAATCGCAATCCATACGAGTATACTTCACCACCAACAACAACAACATCATTACATGAATACCCACCTAATCGTAATGATAGAAACGACACGTATCCACCGCGTGGCGGGGTTCTTAATTCACAAAATCGTGACAGTTATCCGTTAGACGATCTAAATGATTATTATGAAGATAGTGATGCCGATGATGGGTATAATCGAGGTCAAGGAATTAATAGATCAGCAGAGAATGATTCTTTTTATAATGGTAATCGATACGATGATCTGACGTATCCTCCTGATGCATACCCTACCAGTTCCGACTCAAATAATGGTATGTTGTTTATTTTAATTAAATTTTTTTGACGATCCACAATGGTTTTGTATATTTACGTACATTTATCTTTCTAGGTATAACAAATACACCAACATCAACATATAGTCAAGAGCGATCAACAAGTGATGTAAAAGGAAAAGGTCGAAGTGATGTTGCAGACACCGAATCAGAAATAGAAAGTGTCAGTGATCACACACGTAACCGTCGTGAATCTAATGAATTTGATGTGTATGGAGGGAATCTTCGTGGAAGAGATGATTCCAATCGATACTCAATCTGTACATCTCAAGATTCATTGATGCACGGACTAGACATTAATCAGAAAAAACCGCATTACTATTCACCATCACAATATTCATATAACGGTGAAAACTCGTCAACTGGCTCCGGAAGAAACACGCCACAATACGGTCTCGAATATCCACATTTGCCACCGGGCAGTCAACGCTCAAAAGAACCTTACCCGGCGTGGCGATCTGATGATCATCAAATCCCGTGCTCGAAAGAAGAGATTGAAGAAATTTTCATTGATCTCACTAATAAATTCGGGTTCCAGAAAGATAGCATGCGAAACATGTACGACCATCTTATGGTCATGTTGGACTCACGTGCTTCGAGAATGTTACCCGCACAGGCTCTTTTGACATTACATGCTGATTACATCGGCGGAGAAAATGCAAATTATAGAAAATGGTATTTTGCGTCACAAATGGATGTTGACGATGCTTTTCACAATTCAACAAGAGGTGTACCACAGCCACGCGGACAGAATCTTGATGATGTACGAGCAGGCGAAGAGATATGGAAAGAAAAAATGAATTCAATGTCACAGTATGACCGAGTTAGACAATTGGCTCTATATTTATTATTGTGGGGTGAAGCTGCTCAAGTAAGATTCACAGCCGAATGCTTATGTTTCATATTTAAATTGGCAGACGACTATTATCGAAGTTCTGACTGTAAAGCAAAAGTGCAACCACTGCCCGAAGGAGAATATCTTCGAAATGTAGTCACACCATTGTATCGATTCATTCGGGAACAAGGATACGAAGTTATTGGCGGGACATTCGTGAAACGAGAAAAAGACCACGCTGATACTATTGGCTATGATGATATTAATCAACTGTTTTGGTACCCGGAATCGATTGATCGTATCGTGTTACAAGATCATACTCGTCTGATGGCTTTGCCGCCCAGTCAACGATATCTTAATCTTGGACACGTTGAGTGGGATAGAGCGTTTGAGAAAACTTACAAAGAGAAACGTACATGGTTACATCTGGCTGTTAATTTCACGCGGATATGGATTATTCATGTGGTCTCTTTTTGGTATTATACTGCTTATGCGGCACCATTTTTGTATATGGACATCGAGAAAAATTTCCAGCCAGCTGTTCGATGGTCGGTTGTTGCTTTGGGTGGGGCGGTGGCGACATTATTTATGATTTTTGGATGTATATGCGAATTTTTCTTTATCCCATTAAAAGGGACAAACATCACAGGATTAACTAAAAGACTTACCATGCTACTCATTGTTTTGATAATTAACACAGCACCAACTTACTATATTGTCAAGATCTCAAAGAAAGATTCAACTGCATTAATGATCAGTCTAGGCCAGCTTGCTATTTCCCTAATAACCACACTGACATTTTCCATATTACCCAGTTCAAAAATATTCGGTGGTCCATCATCAACAGCAAGAACAAGTCTTCCACGTCAAACATTCACAGCTAGTTACCCACCACTCGGGAGCAAAGATCGTGCAATGTCAATAGCCCTCTGGACCTGTGTATTCGGATGCAAATTGATCGAATCTTACTTCTTTTTGTCACTGTCGTTCAGAGACCCCTTAAAAGCTATGCACGGAATGAGAGTTCTAAATTGTGGTGATCAGATCGCCGGCACCCTTCTTTGTTCTTACATGCCTGTGATGGCTATCGTGATAATGTTCTTCATGGATCTGGTGCTATTCTTTTTGGACACCTATCTTTGGTATATTATCTGGAACACGATTTTCTCGGTGATTCATGCTTTCCAGCTTGGAATGTCGATTTGGACCCCGTGGAAAGATATTTTCTCAATGTTGCCGAAACGTGTCTATGCTAAAGTGTTGGCGACTGGTGATATTGAAAATAATCATAAGCCTAAAACATTTATATCGCAAGTTTGGAATGCCATTGTCATCTCAATGTACCGTGAACATTTGTTGTCAATTGATAATGTACAAAAGTTGCTGTATCGACAGGTATGTTGTACTTTTATTGGGATATTCTCATTCGTATTATTTTTTTCATCAGCCTTATTAATACACTCGATTTTTCTTCTATTTTTAAAACTTTACTAGACGACAGAACAAGACGGAAAACATCTTAAAGCGCCAGACTTCTTTCTCTCACCCAACTCCTCAAATGACAAATATTTTCCACCGCTCAGTGAAGCTGAACGTCGTTTCTCTTTCTTTGCACAAAGTTTAACTACTGAAATCCCAGAACCACTTCCAATTCCCAACATGCCCACATTCACAGTCCTGACGCCTCATTATTCCGAAAAAATTCTGCTGTCCTTGCGTGAAATTATTCGAGAAGAAGACCGAAATACTCGCGTCACCCTATTAGAGTATCTCAAACAATTGCATCCAGTAGAATGGGATAACTTTGTAAAAGACACCAAGATTGTTGCTGAAGAACACAGTATGTACCCAATGGCTCCCGGACTTGGCAAAGAATCGGAAAAAGACATCAAAAACAAAAAATTGGATGACTTGCCTTTCTACTCTGTTGGTTTCAAATCATCTGCTCCAGAATTCACCCTTCGTACACGTATATGGGCTTCTTTACGCTCACAAACCCTGTATCGCACGATATCCGGGTTCATGAACTACTCGAAAGCTCTAAAATTACTATATCGAGTAGAGAATCCAAATATTGTCACAAATTATGCTTCGAACCCCGAGAAACTTGAGCGAGAATTATCCTCAATGGCACGCAGAAAATTCAAATTCTTGATAACAATGCAACGCTACAATAAATTCAACAAAGAAGAACAGGAGAACGCGGATTTCTTGCTCCGTGCTTATCCTGATTTACAGATCGCCTATCTTGAAGAAGAGCAAGTTGATGATGAGAAAAAAATATTTTCCGTACTTATCGATGGTCATTGTGAGTTCCTTCCGGATGGTAAACGAAAACCAAAATATCGGATACAATTGCCAGGTAACCCGATTCTCGGTGATGGTAAATCCGATAATCAAAATCACGCAATCATCTTTTATCGTGGCGAGTATTTGCAATTAGTGGATGCTAATCAAGACAATTACCTCGAGGAATGTTTGAAAATTCGAAATGTTTTAGGTGAATTTGAGCATTCTAATATGCCCACTACTTCACCTTATTCGCCAGCCGCCGAACCTCTAAATAAGAATCCAGTAGCTATTGTTGGTGCTCGTGAATACATTTTCTCCGAGAATTATGGTGTGTTGGGTGATGTGGCCGCTGGTAAAGAACAAACTTTTGGTACTCTTACACAACGTATTATGGCTGTGATTGGTGGTAAATTGCATTATGGACATCCAGATTTCTTGAATGCCATATTCATGACAACACGCGGTGGTAAGTAGAATATTTATTAAACATAAGAATAATGAAAATTATACAAATTAATATTAATTGATTACTTAAATTATGTTATCTTTTCTAGGTATATCAAAAGCTCAGAAAGGGCTTCATCTTAACGAAGATATTTATGCTGGTATGAACGCTTTCTGTCGAGGTGGTCGCATAAAACATACAGAATACTATCAATGTGGTAAAGGTCGTGACCTTGGATTCGGTTCCATTCTGCATTTCACCACCAAAATTGGTACCGGTATGGGCGAACAAATGTTGTCACGTGAATACTATTATATTGGCACACAACTTCCATTAGACCGATTCTTGACTTTCTATTATGCTCATCCGGGATTCCACGTCAACAATATTTTCATCGCGTTATCAGTGCAATTATTTATGGTTGGAATGTTATTTATAGGCGCTCTGGCGTCCACCCTGCTTCTTTGCAATTACAACCCTGATCCTACTGCTCCATTATCTCCCCCTGGCTGTTATAACTTTATCCCGGTATTCGACTGGATCAAACGCTCAATTATCTCAATCTTCATAGTGTTCTTTATTGCTTTCTTGCCACTTTTCTTGCAAGAGTTAACGGAAAAAGGATTCATTCGTAGTCTGACACGTCTCGGCAAACATTTTATGTCTTTGTCACCCTTCTTTGAAGTCTTTACAACTCAAATATATGCTAATGCTATCATGACCAATCTAAGTTTTGGCGGTGCTCGATATATTGCTACTGGCCGTGGATTTGCCACTGCTCGAATCCCATTTTCTATTTTATATTCACGGTTCGCTGGACCAAGTATTTACTTTGGGATGCGAACTTTGCTCATTCTGCTTTTTGTCTCGATGACCATGTGGATACCGCATTTAATGTACTTTTGGGTCTCTGTCATTGCTCTCTGTATCTCACCGTTCTTGTTCAACCCACATCAGTTTTCATTCAGTGACTTTATTATTGACTATCGAGAATTTTTGCGGTGGATGTCACGTGGTAACTCAAAAACGCATGCAAACTCTTGGATTGCCTATTGTCGAGTATCTAGAACAATGACCACCGGATATAAACGTAAACGATTAGGACATCCCTCGGAAAAAGAAATCGGGGATGTGCCAAAACCAAGTTTCGCCGTGATTTTTGTTTCGGAAATTTTATGGCCATTCCTTACAGCTTCATTGTGTGTGATTGCTTTCATGTTTGTGAAGAGTTTCGATCCTAAAACGCCAAACTCTCCTAATAAAGGAACAAGTTCTCTAATTCGAGTTGGTGCTATCGCAGTTGGACCAATCTTTTTGAATGCAGCAATGTTAGCAGGTCTTTTTCTGATTGTGTGTATAGGTTCAGTTTTTGATTCTGAAAAATTCGAAAAATTCGGGTCCTACACTGCGGCAATTGCACACACATGGTCGGTCATCACTTTTATAGGAGCTTTTGAAGCTTTCTGGTATATCGAATCATGGAATCTTAGTCATGCCGTTTTGGGTATGATAGCTGTCTCCGCGATCCAAAGATTCATATTCAAAGTCCTGATCACGATGTTCCTATCACGAGAATTCAAACACGACGAAACAAACCTTGCATGGTGGACTGGAAAATGGTCTGGTCGCACTCTTGGAAACTCTTCATTTATACAACCGCTCCGTGAATTCATCTGTAAAATAGTAGAAATGGGATTATTCGCCACCGACTTCATTCTTGGGCACGTTTTATTATTTATGCTGGCACCATTTATACTGATCCCGGGTATGGACATGATCCATTCGACGATGTTGTTCTGGCTTCGCCCGAGCAAACAAATCCGCGCGCCGATATTCTCGATAAGGGAACGAACGCGGCGACAACGTATTGTTTGGACGTATGGCCTGATATTCCTGTGTATGGTGGGCATATTTGCTGGGTTGATTGCTGGCCCGATAATTTATGGATCCAATGTTAAGAGAATCAATGTCCCAATATAGGGGAACACTAAAGCCAGGTAGTGTGGCTTAGCATCAAATTTACCAAGTTCACTGGAAATTTTGCTAGACAAGGATCTAGTCCCTACAAAATATAATAAATACGCAAATAACAATTAATTTTTTATTGACTTTTTCAATTTTGGTTATTATATTAATGTAATAGTAATTTGAGTTTATAGTATTTTTACAAACATTGACAAGAACATTCACTAACAACTTATCATATTTTCCCTTTTTGTAATAATTTCTTCTGTTATAATGTGCTCCCTTTTTTTTTCTTTATATAAACAACCAACATCTTTCATAGCACACACATACACAGCATTACCATCTTCATCCACATTTTTCCTCTCATACACATTATAATATAAATTGTATTTTTGACAATTTTGATAGTTATTTTTTTTTAGTAATTTTATAAAACATTTTGCGAATAGATACAAATAAAAAAAACTAATTCTTTAATTCAATCTCGAAGAGAATTTTGTTTCTTCTAAATTTCAGTGCTCTAAAAAGCAATTGATTAATCCCAACAATTACAGTAAAGAATATGAATATACTTTTTAATTTCGCTAATTAGAAATCTAATCAAACGATGCTTGATGACAATGACGACAAAGATCCATTATTTCTCCATAGATGCACGACGTGATCATAAAAAGAACAACTAGCAATCAGAGACTTGTCTTCTCTCTCGCTTCTTCCATTATTTCTATTAACACTTTGAGAATAGCAACACCAATCAATACCGTAAACTATTGATTGATGTTCCATGAATCTGCAATACGCGGACACCGATATTGGCACTCGTTTGTTATTGTTGCTGTTTGTGTTAATGTCGTCATCGTTTTCTATCTTTATATTATTGTCATTATTGTTAATTTTGAGAACGTGCGCTCCATTGTACATACACGCAGCCAGTAACAGATCGCCGCGTGTCGGATGCCATTTAAGTCTCCATACACCACCATCTGTGATATACTCTGCTATGGGACATGACATGTTTCTCGTGTCCCATAGGAGAATGTATTCGTCGTAGCTGTATTGGATCAATATGTGATAAAGTGAAAAAACAGCAATAAATAATCAAGAGATTTTATACAAGCATTTTGAGTTAGGGTGAATATGACGCTTGCCTTCCAGTAGCTAGTTGATGTTCGCGGTGTGGGTTCGATTGAATGCTGCATACTCCTGCCGAATGTCTTCGTTTTTTTATGATTGTAATTTTGACGTAAGTAATATTTATTTTTAAAAACATGTGTGATTTGTATTTTATTACCTCGAGCCATTAAACAACGGTGAAAAAGACTCCATTCGCAAGTCCCATCCTTTTAATCGACAATCATCGCCACCTATTTTAACATTGATGAAACCAAGTGATTAAAAAGTAATGAATATCTCAAGTAAATCCTAATGTGTTGTTAGTTTAATGTATAAGAAATAATACCATACCGGTATAAATCAAATTCGGGCTCCAGTAATTAAATGCCCCTATCCACGCCTCGAAATCGTGTGCTTTCCATTGTCGAGTTTTTGTCATTCCTCCTCTTTGGGCGTCAACGGTAAGTATTGAGGCGCTTCCGTCGTTTTGGGTTACTATTATACTAATAGGTGCACTTTTTTATGAAACATTATTATTATTAAATTTTTGTTTGTTAAATGCTGATTTAACAAGGGGGTTTTTGATTATTTTTTTAGTAAGTGTGAGAGCGATTTTACTAGCTTTACCTGGGTGATAATGATCGATTTGACCAATCAAGTGAAAGACACAATGTTTCGCCTTCGTCTTCATCATTATTATCGTGTTGGTTATAGTTACTTAATTTGATGTTGGTAGCAAGGTCTAGTCGATTCTGAGTTAAATGAATTCTATTAATTCCCTCAAAAGAAAAAATGCCAGGAAATCATAAAGAAAAAATCACATTTTCTTCATTGAATTTGAATAGCGAAACTGATCCCGACGCGTCTGCCACCGCCAGAACTCCAACATCGTGAATTCGTTGATGTGACCTATGTATTATCTTTTTCGATTAACATCATAAAAAAATAACAGACGCGTATGATCATAATACACACCATTTCATATCGAGGATAGCGGCCATTTCAATTCTTTGAGCTTCGAGACTAAACTCATATATTTAGAAAACTACCATTAAGCATGAAAAAACACAAAAACTTGATATACGCATTTTATAACTTTCTAACGAACGCGTACATCTCAACTCGATCGTCACCACTTTCTTCTTCTTTTACTTCATATAACAATAGTCTTCCCAGACGAAGACTACTGCTACGTGTCTTTTCGGATGTATCATCATCATTGTTATTTTCACCATCATCACCATCGCTACTTTTTTTACTACCGACTTTATTTACCGGCACTTTCTCCGACTCTTGTAATTTTAATTGATACGTTCCACAAGCAAAGTATCCTAATTTCGATAACGATGATGGTGGCGACGATGAAAATAATTCAAATGGAAAGAATTCGATTGAATCGGCACTGTATTCTGTGTCGATGGCGTAAAGTGACGAGACTTTTGTTTCGCCTACAATTTATTGTCACTTTTACTTTACTTATTAGAGAATTTCTTTCTTTAGAAATAAAATACTTGGCTTTTACATGAATCCGTCATATTTTTCTAATTAATTATTGCGGAATATTGTGAACCTCGGAGAATATTTTTATCCCTATCGCTGTCAACAATAAATTTCATATTACACAGATCTATATCCTTGCTGTGTCACGATGCCCGAATTTTGTCTCCCAAGTAATTTTTTAATGTTAATGTTAATGTGGTAATGCAAGTATAAAAAAGGGTTAGATTCCTCCTAATTTTTAAAAATAACCTATATATATTATATACATGTTACATATACGTTCTCTTTATTTATAATACCTACTTTAGAATTTGACTCAACATACATAATAGTAATACGTATAAAAACTCGATTTTAAAGTAGCTGAATCAACAACATATAACAGTCGTTTCATCGTCGCAAAAAGGCATTTCTTTGTAAAAAAAAATAAAAAAACTAGATTGCCCTGTTTCATTCAAATGTCATTACTTAATGACCCCGAGTAAGTTGTTATGGTTACGAGTTGTGCGTGTGGGTGTAAAGAGAGAAAGAGGGAAAAGGGTTTTGGGCGTAGCAGTTTTATGTATTCATACATACATGTGTACACATGAGAGAATAGGTACATCATCCACAATCTTCGCATTGGCTACCTGCGACGGTTGGACGACCCATATGCCGGGCGTATCATAACATTTTCACCAAATGTGCTCTCGTCAAACGACTATATAAAGACCGCGGCCTCGTCATATCCGGAAATGCAAGAATGTTATTCGCCAAGTACGAGGATGTTGGGTGGTGCAAGTAGTGATTATTTTGATTTGAAAAATATCGGGAGTGGTAATAGTAATGCAGTTTCTCCGCTGTCGACTGGTGGTGGTGGGGGTACGCGTTCGAAAAGTTTGGCGTACAATAGTAATAATGGGAATGCAAAATCGAGAAAGACGACGACAAGTACTTCTGGTGGAGGAGGAGCTAGTAGTAATAACAGCAATAATAAGAATAACAGCGGGGTATTTACGGATAATGCTGAAAGTGACGATGCAACAGATTTCGAAGTGGAAGATACAAAGTAAGAATCGAGCGCTGTCTTTAATGCTTAATTGCGAACTGAAAATGATTCAATATCGAATCCGATTTGGAATTTTTTTCAATTACAAATATTGACAATATTCTCTTTGTTAGTAAACCTCATCAACATTCTTTTGCAAAGGTAAATCTGAAGCGTCAAACGATGAAAACACCACCACCCGTATTCATAACCTCGCCATCAAAACCCCCCAAATCACGGTCCAATTCACGTCACATGGTCGCGTTCTCTTATTCACCACCGTTGCCCACATTAAAAACATCACCTGAAAGTCTAGTTAATTTATCATCAACAGAACAAACACCTATACTCTCACCAAACTCGTCTCCCGACAGCGAAAAAGAACCTCTGGACGAGAGACGCGGTTCGGAAGTATCGATGCTAACCGCAGACGAAGGTACAGAGCTGCCGCCTGAGAGTTCACCGCCTAAACCTCGAATAAAGGATTCAGCAGCAGCAGTACAACAAGAATTTAAACCGGATCCACCGATAATCATTAAAAGGCCGAAACCATTCTCGGCATTGTCGGCACTGATTCAAGATCAGAAAAGCAGGCTACATAACCCGTTTAGCGAGGATTATAGCTTCTTTGCTGGAAAGGGTGATTTGAATCCGATAAAGATAAAAATATATTTACCATTCTCGACAGAAAAAGATCATCCGCTTGAGCTTATTGTTAAACGTGATGTTACAGTCGAGGAGGTCATCGGATATACGCTATATCAATATTGGGATGAAAAGCGAGAACCGATTCTTGATGAGAGATTGTGCAATGTCGCACAATGGAACATGAGAATTGTCGAAGATGACGGAGAAATCGATTATGATTTTCCACGTAAGTTAATAAATAATAATAATATTATTATTGTGGCGAAACGACCAATTTATATATTTATTTATTTTCTAATATCAAAACAATAGCATTAGAAAGAGCACAAAAAATTACTAAATTCTTTTTTGATGCATATGGATTAATCGAAGCTAATCCAGAGCAAGGTAATTTAGATTCACAGTATTGGAAATTAATTTCTGCAAACTTTAATCCAATAAATGATCTAATTCTAAAATGACGACAATAATGATAATAATTCAGTCATACAAAATCAACAATTGCAAAAGACGAATGACGCCTTATCATCTAACCCAAAAATACCCGCAAAACTCAATGGTGATACTTCTGCACCCCCATCAACGAAAACTGACACATCATCCAAACCAAATGGCATCAAATCAGCCGTAGCACCGCTTCCTGTGGATCTCAGTAATCAAGTATTTCTTCGCGTTCGTCTTACTTCGTCTTCTGAAGTTGCCCATACAACAATGATAAATGTGATGGCTGAGCAACGATTATACGATGTGCTTGAGAATGTGTGTCGTAAGCGTAAACTGGACAGCAAAGAATATACCTTCAAAAGTATAGACAAGAATCATTTTCTTGATTTGGAGAAAACGATAGATAGTTTAGGTGTGAATCCGGAACTTGCACTTGTTAAAAAGTCCAATGAGAGAGCTCGATCTGATGCAGTACCCCCGCAAAATGGTAATTCTTTATTCCTTTTTAATTAATAGGAAATTCATAATGTGATCCTGTTAACCAACTTATCTAATGCTTGTGATTTTTAGGTTCAAAATCTTTAAGGATATCACGGCGGACACTAGAAGAGCCAATTTATGTATCGTCTACCGAGTACATGTCAGTTTATCAAGTAAGAAAATCTGAATAGGATGAATCAAAAATTTTGAAATATAACAATTGAATATTTTTTCAGAAATACACAGTAAATCGCAAAATGCCAATGTTTGTCGGACGGCATGAGCGATCACTAGCAATCGATGGTGATTACATTCACATAATGCCTTCCGAATCACGGACAATGTTTGATTCAATGAAAACAGTACGTTACTTATTTGCTGTTGTTTTAATTTATTCGTAAATTATTATTAAATTTATTTTGTAATCATTTGATTATCAGTCTTCGTATCATATCTCATCTGTTACATCGTGTAAACAAGATAAAAAACTATCAACGAATTTTAAACTGGTGATTGATCGAGAATCAGGGAACAAAACTTATGATTTCGAGGCTGTGGATGCAAGACAAGCAGGTACTGATAAAAATATTATCAATTTTTTTTTACTTGCGTGTTCTCTAATAATTTAACGATTGCCACGACAATACAGGCGAAATATGTAAAAATATAAAGTTTCTCTCTGGTCTATATAAAGGTGAACAAAGCAAGTCGCGATGATGAATTTTTTATCAAAACTATCATTACTATTATTATCATTATTGTTTTTCTCTTTCCAAAAAATATTCCTTTTTATCCCATTCTTCTGTACCTATCCTTCTTTTTGTTACCGTTCTTTTTCCCTTGTAACTTATTGAAACCCAACCTTCCACATACATATATACATACATTACATACATACACACATTCATACACACCCACCCACACATATATTACATACCTACCCCTTGTACAGTTTTTTTTTTGGCGTGTACTTGTAAATATAGTAAATAAAGATCTATATAAAAATTCCACCGATTTTTTTAGAGAAATAGATAATGTTGGCGAGAATTTTATAATAAAAGCATATTGTGATACGACCTGCATATATACGTATAACACATAATGGAGTCATGGGGAACCAATTCTGGTGTCACGACTGTGGGAAATTCAACCGCGAGTGCTTAGCATTGGGGGAAGAGGTTCGTGGTCTGATGACAGAATGATTGGTGCATCCCTTCCTCATTCTTAAGCGGACAACTCGTTCCTTTTCACCAACAATCCTACGGGATCGGTGAAGGATAACTTGAGGAAATTGTTTTACTCATTCGTGATTGCAACGTTTCCATACACTCGGTGTTGTGCCCGGATTCGCTCCATTCCTCGTCGAGAATGTTCCTTGATGAGGTTGTTGATGCCTTATTAGCATCCAATGCAAAAGATATCAATTCCTATTTACACCATATTTTTGTTGTTTTGGTGCTCTTCAAGATTATCTTGTTTGAAAAGACTATCAGTGATCTTGTATATTAAATATATATAATGTACTTTATCAGAGCCATTCTTGATGGATATAAGAACTTGAAAGCAATTAATATTAGCAAATATTATTTTCTTAGCTTTATATATAGTATTAAAAACTAAAATGAAATAGTTTTGTATAGAATTTCAAATCTGGTACTGATTTATAAAGTAAATTTTATTTTTATATGAAAATACAAATATTGTAATATTTCATAATGATTTTTATATTGTTATAATATGAATATTTGAGTTATATTTTATTGGCTAATTTATATTATAAATTCTATTAGACAATATTTTAATTAAAATTTATTGAACAATAACTATTATTAAATAGAATTTGAGCTATTAATAATCAATTTACTAACTATAATTATTTTATTATTAACCTATAAAAAATTATTTGAAAGATATTGTTGTGATATGAATTTTAGCATATCACATGACTTTTCATAGTTAATTTTCATTGGATAATTGATTTATAAAT